AGGACGGGTCTTCTGGCACGGCTGAGGACAGTCAGGGCGCAACCATCACGTGGACTCGGGGTGTTGAAATCCCAGGAATGGTGTTCTGGTGCGGCTCATGCGTTCTTGAGGTCCCAGGAAATGTGTTCTGGCACGGTTATGTATTTCCGGATCAATTCCCAACCTTCCGGTGTTGGGCTTTCGTTATGACTAGAACACTGCGGTCGCGAGTCCTCCTCCTCCTCCTCCTCCTCCTCCTTCCTCCTCCTCCTCCTCCTCCTCCTCCTCCTCCTCCTCCTCCTCCTCCTCCTCCCCCCCCTCCTCCTCTTCCTCCTCTTCCTCCTCTTCCTCCTCTTCCTCCTCTTCTCCTCCTCCTCCTCCTCCTCCTCCTCCTCCTCCTCCTGCCTCCTCCTGCGCTGCTCCCAGGGTGGCTGCGTGCTGCGCGACTGTCGCCATTTTCGGGGGCTCCTGGGAGATCCAGCGGAGCCGAGGGCCACGCGGACCCAGACGGGACCTCGCTGCTCTCTCGGTGGTTGCGAACTGCGCAACCGTCGCCACGTTTGTGGGCCCCTGGGAGGTGCAGCGGAGTGGAGGCCACGTGGACCACGTTTGGACCTTGCTGCTCTCTCTCTCTCTCTCTCTCTCTCTCTCGGTGGTTGCGAACTGCGCAACGGTCGCCACTTTCGTGGGCTTCTGGGAGGTCCAGGGGAGTGGAGGCACACGCGGAACTGTCGCTATGTTCGCGGACTTCTGCAGCGGAGTAGAGGGACACGAGGACCCAGGCGGGACCTCGCGGCTCCGTGGGTGACTGCGAACTGCTCAACCGTCGCCATGTTCGTGGGCTCCTGGGCTGTCCAGGAGGATCGGGGGCCACGCGCGGACCCAGACGGGACCTCGCGGCTCCCTGGGTGGCTGCGAACTGCGCAATCGTCGCCACCCTTGCGGGCCTCCTTGGAGGCCCAGCGGAGCCTGGGGCCACGCGGTCCCAGACGGGACCTCGCTGCTCCTTGGGTGGCTGAGAACTGCGCAACCGTCGCCACTTCCATGGGCTCCCGGGAGGTACAGCGGAGTCGGGGGCCACGCAGGCCCAGACGGGACCTCGCGGCTCCCTGTGTGGTTGCGAGCTGTGCAGCTGTCACCCCTTTCGTGGGCTTCTTGGAGGTGGTGGGGGCCACGCAGACCCAGACGAGACCTCGGCGCTCCCTGGTTGGCTGCGAACTGCCCAACGGTCACCCCTTTCGTGGGCTCCTCGGAGGTCCAGCGGAGTGGAGGCCCACTCGGACTCCGACGGGACCTCGCGGCTCCCTGAGGGGCTGTGAATTGCGCAACCGTCACAATTTTCGTGGGCTCCTGGGAGGTCCAGCGGGGTCGGGGGTCACTCGCACCCAGACGGGATCTCGTTGCACCCTGGGTGGCTGACCTCAGTCATCATGCGGCGCTGTTGCATAACAGAACGCGAAGCGCCTGAGCGTCACGTAGCGCATGGCGGTGTCCTCAGTTGCCCACTCCCCCCCTCAGGCGCCCGCCTCCTGCAGATGCAGCGCAGGCGAACCGGACAGACGTGCGCATGGCGTTCTTTCTCGTCAGCATTCCTCTGTCTTCCCTCGCAGTCCTCCTTGCACTCCTCCCCCCCCTCCTCCTCCTGCTTTTCACCCTCCTCCTCCTCCACTTTTGTCCCCCGTTCTATTTAGCGCAGGTGTGCGACGAGCGTGGCCCGACATTGTATCGCCTGCCCGGCTGTTGCCAATGTCGCAATGTATTCTTGTGTCTGTGTGAGGCGTTGACATTAATAGTCGCCTCACGTGCACAATGGGGGCTGGGTGCGCCTCGCGTAACTATGACATTGACGGGTGCCTGGAGCATTTTGCTATTTTAGTCCTTGCGAGGGATCTTAGGGCTTATTCCAACATCGTTGATGCGTCTTGGGCTTACACAGCTCCTCCATCCCGTTTACTTACACATAAATCCGTCCTGTTGCGCCCCCAGACGTGTGGGTAGAGCGGGCGGGGTGTTTGGCGTTGGATATCCTCATTGTTCTGATCCTGAAGTTCGAAAATCCCTACCTAGGCTCTGCCTAGAGGGTTCTTACTCTCTTTCCTAAAGGGGCCGGGCAGTGCTAACCGCCCCGGGCGGTTCCCCCAGTATCCTGGGAGCGGTTACCCCAGTCCCCTGGGAGCTTTAGCTTTAGCTTTAGCTTTAGTTTTAGCTTTAGCTTTAGCTTTAGCTGAGCTTTAGCTTAGCTTTAGCTTAGCTTTGGCTTAGCTTTAGCTTAGCTTTAGCTTAGCTTTAGCTTAGCTTTAGCTTAGCTCAGCTTAGCTTCAGCTTAGCTCCAGCTTAGCTTCAGCTTAGCTTTAGCTCAGCTTTACCTGAGCTTTAGCTTAGCTTTAGCTTAGCTTTAGCTTAGCTTTAGCTTAGCTTCAGCTTACCTTTAGCTTAGTTTCAGTTTCGCTTCAGCTTAGCTCCAGCTTAACTTTAGCTTAGCTTTATCTTAGCTTTAGCTTAGCTTTAGCTTAGCTTTAGC